AGATAGTTTCTCTCTAAGTTTTTTGAGATAATTTCTCTCTATGAAACTTTACATTTCAGATAGTTTTTCTTTCTAAAAATTTCTAAATACTTTATCTTTCCAAAAATTAAAATTTGAGATAGTTTCTCTCTTTAATTTTTTTTTATTTAATTTCTCTCTCAAATTTTTTTGAGCTGTCTTTTGGCATTAAAACCTTTTAGGTATTTGCTCTCTAAAACTTAAAATTTGAGATAGTTTATCTCTCTAAAATTTGATATAGTTTTTTTTTTCTAAAAAATTTTGAGATACTTTCTCTCTTTAAAACTTAACATTTGGAATAGTTTCCTTTTAAAAAATTTTGAGATAATTGTTTTAGTTCTTTCTCTGTCTAAAACATAAAATTTGAGATAGTTTCTCTGTCTAAAAATGTTGGGATGGCTTCTCTCAAAAAAATTGGATATTGTTTTCCTCTCTAAGACTTAAAATTTGATATAGTTTCTTTCTTTAAAAAGTTTGCGATAGTTTCCCTCTCTAAATATTTTGAGATAGTTTATCTATCTAAAACTTACAATTTGAGATAGTTTCTCTCTCAAAAAATTTTGAGATAGTTTACCTATCTAAAACTTACAATTTGAGATAGTTTCTCTTTCAAAAATTTTTGAGATAGTTTCTCTCCCTAAAAATTTTCAAGTCCTTTGTCTCTCTAAAACATAAAATTTGAGATCATTTCTCTCTCAATTTTTTTTGAAATTGTTTCTCTCTTTAAAATTTTTGAGACAATTTCTCCCTCTAAGACTTAAAAATTGAGATAGTTTCTCTATCTAAAAATTTTATCTCTTAAAAATTTAGGCTCTCTCTAAAACATAAAATTTGAGATCGCTCTTAAACTTAAATGTTTAAATAGTCTCCCTAAAATTTTTGAGATAGCTTCTCTCTCTAAAACTTTTCTAGTACTTACCCTCTATAAAATTTAAAATTTAAAATTTGAGATAGTTTCTCTCTCTTAAAATTTTTAGGCACTTTCTCTTTATAAACTTAAAATTTGAGATAGTTTCACTATCTACAAATTTTCAATTACTTTCTCTCTCTCTCTCAAACTCAAACTTTGATATAGTTTCTCACTCTAAAAATCTTGAGATAGTTCCCCTCTCTAAACTTTTTTTAGATATTTATCTCTCTAAAATTTAATATATTTTCTCTCTCTCTCTTAAAAATGTTAAAATATTTTCTTTCCCTAAAGGAAAAAGTTTATATAAGGTTGTAACCTTAAAATGTAGAATTAAGGATGTACCAAAAAAATCCATCGAAAAAGGTTATTTTAATGCTGAAAAACCCTCTAATTAATCATCTCAATGTCAAGATGTATGAAAAATAGTGCATCTTGCAACACATTATCTAGACCGTCCATTTTCAAGATTTTTATATATTTTATAGATATCCTTGATTTTAATCACTTTTGGGGTTTAAAATTTTATAATTATATATGAAAATAGATTTTAAGAGAATTCTAAGAACTTTTTACATCAAAATTACATCTTATGTTAAACTTTGGCAATATGCCTTAATTGGATTATTTAAGGTTGCAACCTGATAGAAACCACACCCTTCTCTAAAACTTAGAATTTGAAATAGTTTCTCTCTTAAAAACTTTGAGGTAATTTTTCTCTCAGTAAATTTTTTTGATTGTTTCCACCTCTAAAATTAGAAATAGTTTTTACCTCTAAAATTTTAAGATAATTTGTCTCTCTAAAACATAAAATTTGAGATAGTTTCTTTATCTAATTTATAAGGGCGTTTTTATCAATTGTAATTTATAAAGTGGGAAAGCTGGCTGGAAATCAATTTCGAAGGGTAAAGACAAGGAAACATATTTTTTTATTTTTAAATTGACATGAGAAAAACAATTATGACTGAAAATACTTTTCAGTTCTAAACTTTCGATCCAAATACCAAAAATGCACCATCTCCACTGGAAAACATTTCTAAAAATGTATTTTCCACTATCCAAATGGCTTTAAGATCAGCCACCTTTGATATCTCCAGCTTTGTCTTTGCTGCTACAACTTACGTCGACATGTTACTAAGACCTGAGCTCTGAGCCACATGTTGCCCCTGCCCATTGTCAATGTCACAATCGACGTAAATAAATCCTTGGTATAATTCAGAGAGAAAATTCTTAGTAATTAACTTGGAATATAAGGTTTTGTACAGGAGAGAATGTGGTTTTTGTAGCATGTCTATCTCATTAACTATTATGGGCAATTTACATACAATACGTGTTTTTTGTATGTGTATCACAGTAACAAAGTAACAATTATTAGGGGAAATTTTCATACGGACCCAAAAGAAGTTTCTATTAAAGAATGGACAAGGTAAGGTCCAAAATTGTGCCTTTTTTAAATTTAGAAAAAATTATAGATATTTTTATAATCAAACTTTTTAGACATCTTATCGCTCTATTCTCTTTATAACACACAATAAACTCAACATTATGTTTCTTGTATTTACCTTCCAATTAAACGGTCAATAAAATTAATACTATAATGCCCTTACCTCCCCTATCTACCCTGCTTATTCTTCCTATTTCTACCAGTTTTTTTTACTCTCCTCTGCTCTCCCTCTTTTTCCCTCTCAACCTGCCATCTCTCTCTTTACCTACCCGCCATGTTGCCGCAATTCTCAACAAAAAAGTGGATTTGGTCCAAAAGGTCCCCCCAAAGCGTGGGGTGGCTAAAAACAATGCGTTTCCCCGCTAGGCAGCTACCTTCACCGTCAACCACATAATCACACACTAATTCAATCTCTCTAAATGAACCGCTACCTTCCAAATTCTCAGTATCTCTTTCTCTCTCCTCGTATGTAGAGAGCTCTAAAACCTATCCATGGCAGACTCAGCCAATCATTAACAAAGTCCAATTGTTATTTCAGCCCCAAACAGAGCTTTCTCTGTTTGGGTTCCTATTTTTTTCAAGGTTTCAGATGCCTATTGAGGAAAGAGAGCAAGGCTCCGGCAGTGTAGAGGGAGAGGGCGGCGGTGAAGGAGATTCTAGATAGAGAATGGGTGCTTTTGGTGAGTCAGAGAAAGAAGATGACGGTAGGAATTCTAGAGAGAAAAGGGGGGGCTGGATTAATTTTCCACGGTTGGTTTCTATCTTGAGGACGGGGAAAGTGATGGAGATGGTGAGCACAGGCAGAGAGAGAGAGAGAAATGTTACCATGTAACGGAAAAGAGAGAAAAAAGGCATTTTTGTTCAAATATTTGTTGACTTTTTCTTTATGGAGGGTAAGTACTAGAAAAATTAGTATTAAGCCTAGGATGTGTGATACGAAAGGTATTGTGGGATAGAGTGCTTAGAGAATTAATTTTGGAGGTATCTATAAGGGACCCAATTTTTATGCGGCTTTGGCTGCATATGTAGAAATATGGGCCATTAATAAATCTAATTTTGAAATGGATTTAAGATTTAATTTTTAATGACATGTAATCTCTAATATGGAGATCATGAATATGAAAAAATAAATAAAATTTAAAAGTTAAAAATAATAATTCTAGTAAGAAAACATTTAGACCGTTAGTTTGGTTGACTGAGGGCAATTTTGAAAATAGTTTGGTTGATCGACGAGCAATTTTCAAAAATAAAAAAGTAAGTTGACCCACGTTTTTTGTAATTTCTACATATAAGTGGAATATTTTGTATTTTACCTCAATTTTTTGGATCCATACGTAAATTACCCTAACCCAAATGACCCATATCTTTTGGGTTCTAAACTCAAAGTATTATTATTAGTATTATTTTTCAATGAAAAATCGTGTTCTAAATGACCCATATCTTTTGGGTTCTAAACTCAAAGTATTATTATTAGTATTATTTTTCAATGAAAAATCGTCTTCTATCACTTAAGTGACTCAAGTGGAACCGAAAAAATCAAATGACCCAAATCTTTTGGGTTCTAAATACAAAGTTTGATTTTTTTAATAGAAAAATATTTTCTGGATTTAGAATAGACATAATTTAAAAACAAAATACAAGGTAGAACATCCCTCACTTAAATCTTGCTCCCCCTCTCACAAGCGGCCAAAGGCATACTATGTGCTAGATGATATTCAATGTATGGCCAACTTCTCTCTCAAAATAAAAAATATTAGAAATTTGTGTATTGTTCGGAAAAGAAAATGTGGAATGCTAACACATGGCTCATTTATTGTTGTTTACATATAGGTGCGGGTTGTATAGAGCCTAGGCTCTAAACGATCAAATTAGAGCCTACTTTTAAATAGTAATGGGAAATGTGGTTTCAATACTGGAAATGTTTTCGATAGCTTTAAAATATATTTTTATATCTATTTATAATGTTTAAAGCTTTAAAAATTGTGTAGATCGACATATCTATGAAAACTTGAAAATCTTGAAAATTCACAGTCCAGAAATGTGATACAAAATAAACTATTTTCAAAACTTCAAATTAGTTTTTTTTCTCATAAACATGCATCTTGAATAATCTAAACTTCACTACCCTTCTAATTACAAAGGTTCAAGATAGTGAGAGATGGGAAGTGTGCATTTATTAATTTTGTAGTTTTTTTTTTTAAATTATTTTTATGGGGTAATTTTATAGATATTACTATAAGACAAAGGGTATTTTTGTCATCTCCATAAAAAGTAAAGTTGAAATTTTAACTTAAGGAAAGAGTACCCTACAAATTAAGTTCCAACACACTAACTTCTAAAATACCATTGTATTTTTTTGAAAATTTCAAATTTATTTTTGTTTGATGGTAAAATTATCTATTCAAATAATTTTTAATAAAAAATAATAATTATTTTGATAAATACACCTATCTCAACCTCCTCTGCCTTTGAACCTTTTATATTTGACTCTAGACGAACAAAAAGTCTTCCGAATGCCCATACGTAAAGAGTAATAGTGATTTTGCCTACTTCCTATCTACCGTCCATTTAAATTTAAATAAATAAAAGGCCGTCGTGGCCTCAAAAAGTTTCAAACTTAACATATTTTCGATTATTACCCTCTCTCCGATACAAGCCTTTTCTTTCCTTCGCCCTCACCTCTGCTCTGTGAAAGCCGCCTCTCTCTAGCTCGCCCTCTTGTCAGCTCTATAATGTCCGCATCTTTCTCGCTCGCCCTCTCGTCAGCTCTATAATGTCCGCATCTTTCTCGCTCGCTCATCTCTTCTTTGCGCTCTCCTCTCGGTCGCCCTCTTCTATCTCAACGAACCTTCTGGCAATAACATACGCCACCCACACCAGGGAAAATTCTTGGGCATCAATCGCTGAGTGACCTCTAGATTGTATCCTTAATTTCTTTGAATAAATCAAACCCTTATCATGAGTAAACCCAGTATTTTTCTTTGATGTCTAAAATAATACCAAAGTTTGCTATTAGATATCAAAATAGAATTTGAGTGTGAAGCCCTTTGTTTCACAATGCTAGATGCAAAATCAATGAGTAGAAAAAAAATTTTTACTCAATAAGTCACCATAGGAAATGCTTAAAAAGGTTCATATGGGAGAGAGAAAATTTTTTAGGGCATCATGTGTTTGTTTGAATGAGATCATTGCATTCAAGGCTTTGGATTTTGATAATACGAACAATAACTTTATGAGCCTTTTGGTTTTATACCTTATTGCATTTTTTTTTCTCATTTTTGAGAATACAAACACACGTTCTCATTTTTTTTTTTTTTTGGAGTATTTGTATTTGATATTATTTATATTTTTTTTTATAAAATTCGTCAAGGAGTTATTAATTAGCTAAATTTTATGAGTTGATGTTGTTATTACTATCTTTGGTACTATTTTATTCATTTTCCAATGGAATTCAATGTTTTTTTTTTAAGATTATTACCTTTTTTTATTTTAGGATGTATGGAAATGTTCATTTTTTGACTCTTTACTGAGAGTCATCGCAATCTTGCACTTTTGGATGTGGTAGACATGTGTACAAATACATGGGTCTATAAACATCCTTCATCAAACATGATTCTGTAATTTGTTTTAGTTTTATTTGTATAGGTTATTGAGATAGTATATAGAAAGAAAGATGTGCCCATAACTGACTTGTAATGTTTCTTAGACCAAAATTTTTTGGGGGTTACTTCTATTTCTAGTCCATCATCTTAATCAAATTTTATTACATAAAAGTGGGTTGTAACTTGGTTCATTTCCATATTATCTCTTTTGAGTTGGCTTTGCCTGGTTTTTTCGTCATAATCTTGGTAGAACATTTGAAAGAACTGTCCAAGCAGTCCAACATATATGATAGGCTAGCGAGGTCACTTGCACCAAGTATGTGTGAGCTTGAAGATGTAAAGAAATGTCTTCTTTGTCAGGCTTCACCTTCTTGTCTTAGCTTTTCATTTACGTTGTTTTTTTTTCCCTCATAATTTGGATGATTATGTTTATAGCATACATTCCTTACATTTGATGTCACAGCTATTTGGTGGGAATGCTCTAAACTGCCATATGGGTCTAATTTTCGCCTTATTTGGATGATTATGCTTATAGTGTACATACCTGATTGCATTTTTTTTTTCTCATTTTAATGGTTCTCAATTTGTTTTTTGGAGTATTCGTATTTGATCTTATTTATATTTTTAATTTATAAAATCCATCAAGGAGTAATTAATTGGCTAAATTTTTTGAGTTGATGTTTTCATTACTATCATTAGTACTATTATGTTCCTTTGTTTTTTCTTTGACATTATTACCTTTTTTTATTTTAGGGGTATAGAATTGCTCATTTCTAGGCTTTTTGTTGCAATCTTGCATTCTTTGCCTATAAACATGTAATTATGATTTAAATGCACAATAGAATGCACTTTTTTAGGGGTATTCTTAATATTGGTTTCTGACAGGTTTAGGATCTGATACTGATCATAGCATGTTATCTGGTTTAATTTTGGCAATGATTGCATATGTATGGCACCCAGCTTTCCCATTTTGCTTATGCATGGCAATGGTTGCTTATGTAAGGTGATGGTTTAATATAGTACATTTGTTGTTTTTATTGTCTGATAGAGAAATGAGCTTTATCCTAATTGGGTTCTTGACTTGTTTCCCTAAGGCGAATATGACTCTGTTTCTCTAGCCTGAAAATGATTTGCCTAAGTTCCTCTTGGAATTCTTAGCTTTCTTCACTGGCTTACTGCATTATGTGTTGTAGTGACCTACATCATCGTCATCACCCAAGCCTTATCCTAATGATTTGGGGATAGATGCAGTGACCTACATCAATACTGAAAACTAAATTTCTTTGATTAGAGGATATGTTGATTTTCTACTACATGATTGGTACTAATTGTATGCACTGTTTTACTTGTTTATTGACTGTAGCAAGCTACACAGGCTGTTGCTGCCTCAGATAGAAGAAAGAGAGAGAAGAGATCTCTTAGATACATTACCACTGCAAAAGATAGGAGCTTAACTCTTGCAAAGAAATTTTGAATATTGAACTATGCCTAGGTAGGTCTTTGACATTGACACTACACCATTATCGTGGCTACTTAATGGTTTTGTACTTTGCATAAGAATTATTGTACGTGTATTGGCCAGCTGTGTAGGGAATTGACATGATCTCCTGTTTGGTTAATTGCTTTTTTTCGTTTTGAAGGAAGAACCTAATTGGATAATTTGTTTAATGCTATTGAATTGTATACAGGAGAACGTATTTTTTGCGTTGGTTCAGTTCATTACAAAATGGATTGACATGATCTCCTATTTGGTTAATTGGTCTTCTTTGTTCTGAACGAAGAACCTAATTGGATTAGTTGCTTAACACTATTGAATTATGTATAGGGGAGCGTATTTTCCTCATAGGTTTAGTTTATTACAAAATGGATTCTTCTTGGCAGACCCTTCTGAGAATTTCTGGTAATTCATTGTGTTTTTCAACATTACATGTAACATGCTCTTTTTGTGTTTTCTTTTGAACTTCTTCTTCTTATCTTTTTTTTTTATGACCTATATGAAGTTCTTAAAGTATCTCATTGTGTTTGTTGTATTGTGATTGAGTTTTTTTTGCTATTCATCGTTTTATTGAGTCAATTCCTTTCCTTCGATTTTCGAATTATTGTGCAGTTTGGCTGCATGTACATCAAATAGCAAATTTTGCTCACACAATCTTAGAATGAATTTTTGGGGATAACAATCAAGGATGTATTTTCGCGAAGGAGGATATTACTGCACATGAAGCCTTTAATCTGTGTTTATTTAGTGGCTGAAATGTGCCACAACACCTATTACTTCGAAGATTTTTCCAACATATAGTGGAACCTCTGTTGATTGAATATGAGTTGTTTCTTTTTTGTTTTCTAAGAAGTTAGAATTCCAAAGGTGGAGAATGTATGATATTTTGTATCTTGTTATTTTGTCCCTCTCATGATGGGGTTACTTTTCATTCAAAAAATTCAGATTGTTTTGGAGGGCGGAAAATACCCCTGGTTTATACACCAGGTTCTTTTTTGTGGGGTTAATATGTTTTTTTTTATATGCTATATAACTTGATCTTCCCTTCACTAACATAAAACTTATGGGCATGTTTTTGTAGGTATTCCTTATATCATTTTTTTTTTTTCTTTTGAAGTTTGATTCTTATATCATATTTATAATTCTTATATCATATTTATATGTTATCCTTTCCTATTTGCTTTTCATTGTTGACCATATAAATTGAACAGATGTACTATATGTGTGTCGTGGACGCCTCACCATCAGCGTGTCCTTTCCATCCAGTCGACATTACTTGTTCTCTTACAGAGCCATTGAGGATCTCGAATCGAGTTGACAAATTGCAAGAGTGGATTCGTATGAAGGATATGGCAACTTGGAGAGCTTCATTTACACATATGCATAATGGAATTTTTATATTGACTAATTTTCTAAATTTTAGAGATATATAAATATCCCTTTTTATAATTGATTTTTGGGGTTATGAGAATATTGAATAGTCATAAAATTTTGGGGCCATGTAAAAGACCTATTTATGGGGCATATAAATGACCTATTTATAGGGGCATGTAAAGGGCCAAATTATGGGAGCATGTAAAGGACCTTTTTCGGGGTCATGTACAATGAAATAAGCTCATAAGAGAACGAGTAATGTCAGATAAATAAGCTCATATTATTTCATTGTATCTGACAATCAGATCTATCTCTCTCTGTTTATGTGTGTCTTAAAAAAAAAAAAAAACAAACAACAAAAAAGACAAATTGAATAATACCTGAAACCTTGTTTACTGAAAAAATTAGAGGCAGGGGATGGTAACCCAATGAAAAATCATTTTTTTTTATTGAAAACCAACAACGCCGATTCAAAACTGAAGAGGCCATGCTTAGGTCACATCTAACCATTAAAGCAGTTGAGTATTGAAAGTGAGTTTCAAAATTGATATTTGCTCGGACATATTGTATGGTACGGGTATAAAGGTTAGGTTAAGGTGCATTTTATACCCTTGTTTTGTAATCTAATTTTTTTTTATAGTAAGACACCATCCGTTTGTGATATGAGCATAATAGTTTCAGTGATGTCATCCTAACATAACCCATATATGTTTCATATTTTTGGATTTTTAGATTTTTGTTAAGTTCAATCCTAACATAACTGATATATCATTGTTTTTTTGGATTTTTAGAATTTTGTTTTGTACAATCCTACACTGATTTTATTTTATTTTTAGTCATCTTATACCTTTAGTTATTACTCTTGCTATTTGTTGATGTAGTTTTTTGGTGTACAACATTGCTGTTGTGGTTTCAGTTTATGCGCCCAATAAGATCATTATATGGTCTATAACATCATGATGGGGAAGTATATCGTGTGGTCACCTAATGAAAATTTGAAACAAAAAGTTTGTCAAGGACCTTAAATTCTACCAGTTCATGACATAAAATTATGGCTAAATAACTTAGT